GGGCCCGGACAGGCCGCCCGGAGGGGCACAGCAGGCGGGCGGCTGGGGCTGTTTCCGTAAGGAGGCCTGGGAAACCAGGTGCGTCGCCGGCTGCCAGAGGTGCCGGGCTCTTGCAGTGACCAGGGAGAGCAAGAGGCAGGCACACAGTGCCCAGGGGTGGGGGGCTTGTTTTGGCATCCCTTAGGCACCCTGGTTGAAGGCACTGACCTAGGGTCACCCACCCCTGGCTCGTCCTGCCCCAGCGGATCGGAAGGGCAGGGTCCCAGCCTGGGCAATGGCCTCCTTCAAGGTGCTCCACGAGGGGAAGATGAAGGCTCCTAGAGCCCCCCTAAACTAAAACCCGCGCAGGCCTCGCTTCTCCCGACCTGCAGAAAGAGGGAAAAGGGCTGGATCCTCCCGCGCCGGTTCGGCCAGCGAGGGGCTCGGAGTTGTGCTATTGGCAGGCGCAGACGCCTGTCACCTGACAGCGAGCGCCGCTGGGGGACCCCCGGTCCCTGGCTCTCGAGGCAGGACAAAGGGCGAGTGGAGCCGGCTCCCCAGGGCGTGACGGGGGGCAGATGCTGTCCACACCAAGGAACCGGGCGAGGGCCTCTCGTGGCAGACGGGTGGTCAGGCGAGCCTAGCCCAGCCCTCGCAGACTTACCGTGGGCAGCAGGCCGGCGGGTTCAGTGGAAAGCAGAAAGAGTCCAAGAGCTGCCGGAGGGAGGAGCAAACATGTAAACACTCCCCCCAGGCCAAGCAAAGTCACTCGCCCCGATGGCAGAGTCATTCCGGGAGCTCAGCTGAGGCAAGGGAAAAAACCCCAAACCAGAGACTAAGTGATTAACCCTCCCCCCGACGTCCGTGTGATGCTGTGCCCTGGCGCCGTGGTCCCTGGAGTCGGATCCGGTCCTTCCCAGTTCAGACCAGGCCAGAGACGCGATCCCACCCTGCTGCCCCCGGGCCTGTTTCGGCTTTGGGGGGCAGCGCTGTAGTGTTGCTTGTGCTCAGTGCGGAGAGAGAACCCCCGAGCCGGGGCGGCCTCACGCTCCAGCTTCCCGGCCGGCTGTTAGCGAGGAGGCGAGTCTAAGGGAGGCTGAGGGTCTCTGAGGAACAGCGGAGCCGACAGCCTGGCTCAGTCAAGTCTTGTGGTCCATGGAATCCAGGTGCGGAGATGGGCCGGCAGGGTCCCTGCAGGGAGCACACGCAAACGCATCAGCCCGCCGGCCCTCAGGACGCTGCCCTCTGCTGGATGGAACGAGGACTGCTCAGCTAATGGTCATAGACCCTACACTGAGACTCTCCCTTAGCTGAGGGGGCTGGAAACTGCCTTGTCGGAGGGGCAGGGGCGGGCTTCTAGCTTTGCCACCGCCATGCTGCTGCCTCTAGCAGCTTGGGGCCTGCGGGTTTCAAGGGGGATCTCCAGCCCCAATGCAATCCTGAGCCCCACACAGCCCAGCTCCGTCGTCCAGCCACAGCCGCGCTCTGCATGGAGGTGGGGAGGAGCCCCTGGCACAGGTTAAGGCCAGACATACAAGGGAGCCATTCCCTGCGCTCGCAGGGCACCAGGCGGGGAGCCCTGCTAGGGGGACACCCTCTGTTCCGTGTTGGTCTGGGTGGGAGTTTCCTAGCGACAACACAGGCCCTGCAGCCGTGCTCAGGGGGGCCCCCCGCTACCGGGGTCCCGCTCCCCAAGGCCGGGAGC